AAATTAAACAATAGGCTACTGAACAAGCAATGGATCAATGAAGAAATCAAAACTACCTTGAGACAAATTAAAATGAAAATAGAACATACCAGAACTTAAGGGATGCAACAAAAGCAATTCTGAAAGAGAAGTTCATAGTAATAAATGCCTATTTCAAGAAACAAAAAAAACTCAAATAAATATCCTAACTTTACTCCTCAAGGAATGAAAACAAACAAACAAATGAAGTCCAAAGTTAGTGGAAGAAAGAAAATAACAAAGGTCAAAGCAGAAATAAATGAAATAGAATCTAAAAACATAACAGAAAAGATCAATGAAAATAAGAGCTGATTCTTTGAAAAGATTAAAAGATTTGACAAACCTTTAGCTAGATTCAAAAAAAGGAGAACTCAAATAAATCAGAAATGAAAGTGGAGATGTTACAACTGATACCACAAAATACAAAAGATTATAAGAGACTACTGTGAAACACCATATGCCAACAAATGGGAAGTTATAGAATAAATGAATAAATTAATAGAAACAAACTTTCAAAATTAAATCATGAAGAAACAGAAAATCTGAACAGACTGATTACTAGTAAGAAGATTGAATCAGTAATTAAAAACCTCCCAACAAGCAAAAGTCCCAGACCAGTTTCACTGATTAATTCTACCAAACATTCAAAAATTATTACCAATCCCTTTAAACTCTTCCAAAAAAATAGAAGAGGAAGGAACATTTCTAAACTCATTCTATGAGGCCAGCATTACCCTGATACCAAAACCAGTCAAGGAGACTACAAAAAAGAAAAAGAAAAATTACAGACCAATATCCCTGATGAACATAGGCAAAAAATCCTCCACAAAATATTAACAAATCAAATTCAATAATACATGTAAAGGATCATACACCATGATCAAGTGGGATTTATTTCAGGGATGTAGATTTATTCCAACGTCTATAAATCAATCAATGATACACCACATCAACAAAATGAAATATATCTTATGATCATCTCAAAAGATGCAGAAAAAGTATTGGACAAAATTCAATGAAGTGGGCACAGAGGAATTGCACCTCAACATAATAAAGGTCATGTATGACAAGCACACAGCTAACATTATACTCAGTGGTTAAAAGCTAAAAGCTGCCCTGGCCGGTTTGGTTCAGCAGTTAGAGCGTCAGCCCGCGGACCAGAGAGTCCGGGTTCGGTTCCCGCTAAGGGCATGTACTTCGGTTGCAGTTTGTCCTCGGCCCTCGTTGGGGTCATGTGGGTGGCAACACTTGATGTGTCTCTCTCTCTTCCTCCTCTCTCCCTTCCACTCTGTCTGAAGATAAATGCAAAAATGTCCTCGGGTGAGGATAAAAAAAAAAAAAAGCTAAAAGCTTTTACTTGACTTGGGGTGGTGAACACATAATACAATATACAGATGATGTATTATAGAATTGTACACCTGAAATTTATATAATTTTGTTAACCAATGTCACTCCAATAAATTCAATAAAAATAAGACTCCCCCAAAAAGCTATAAGCTTTTCCTTTAAGATCAGAAACAAGAGAAAGATGGCTCACTATCACCACTTCTATTCAACACAGCATTGGAAGCCCTAGCCACATTAATCAACAAGAAATAAAAGGCATCTACAATTGGAAAAGTAGAAGTAAAACTCTGATTATTTGCAGATGACATGATATTATATAGAGAAAATCCTAAACACTCCACAAAAAAACCCAATAGAACTAATATATGAATTGAGTAAAGCTGCAGGATACAGAATCAATATACAGAAATATGTTATATTGCTAGACACTAATTATGAATTATCAGAAAAAGAAATTAAGAAAACAAACCATTTACAATTAAATAAGAAAGAATAAAATATCTAGGAATAAATTTAACCAGAGGTGAAAGACATGGGTGTTAAAAACTGTAAGCCATTGACAGAAAAAGTTGAAGAAGATACAAATAAATGGAAAGACACTTCATGCTCACGGATTAGAAGAATCAATATTGTTAAAATGTCCATACTACCCAAAGGAATCCACAGATTCAATGCAATCCCTATATAAATTTTGATGGCATTTTTCACAGAAATAGAACAAATAATCCTAAAATTTGTATGAAACAACAAAAGACCCCAATAGTCAAAGCAATCTTGAGAAAGAACAAAGCTGGAGGTATCAGGCTTCCTGATTTCAAATTATATTGCAAAACTACAGTAATCAAAACAGTATGATAGTGGCATAAAAACAGACATATAGGCCAATGGAACAGAATGGAGAGCCCAGAAATAAACTGACACTTATATGGTCAGGTTATCTATGACATAGTAGCTAAGCATATACAATGGGGAAAAGACAGTCGTTTAAATAAATGGTGCTGGGAAAACTGGATAGTTATGTGCAAAAGATTAAACTGGACCACTATCTTACACCATGGACAAAAATTAACTCAAAATAGATTAAAGACCTGAAACATAAAACTCCTAGAAGAAAAACTAGGTGGTAAGCTTCTTGAGATTGGTCTTGGTGATGATTCTTTGGATTTGACACCAAAACCAAAGGTAACAAAAACAAAAAAAGCAAAGGCAACTGCATCAAATGAAAAAGCTTTTGTACAGCAAAGAAAACCATCAACAAAACAAAAAGGCAACCTATTGAATGGGAAACAATATTTGCAAATCATATGTGTGATAAGGCATTAATATAAAAAATATATAAAAAACTCATACAACTCAACAGCAAAAACCTTCAAACAATCTGATTTAAAAATGGCCAGAGGATCTGAATACATATTTTCCAAAGAGGATATATAGATGGCCAAAAGGTACATGGGAAGGTGCTCAACATTACTAATCATCAGGGAAATGCAAACCAAAACTACAGTAAGATATCACCTCACATTTGTTAGAATGGCTCTATTATAAAAAAAGACAAGAAATAACAAGGTTGGTGGGCATAGAGAGAATAAAGGGAACCTTTGCCGGGCCAGTGGGGCACAGTAATTTGAACATTGTTCCATGGACTTAGACGTCCCAGGGCACATGCCTGGGTTGTGGGCTTCATCCTCAGTAGGGGGCGTGCAGGATTTTTTCACATCGATGTATCTACCTCCCTCTCCTTTCCTCTCTCTAAATAATCAATAAAAACATATTTAAAAAAAAAAGAAAAGAAGGGGAAGCCTTATGCACTGTTGGTGGGAATGTAAAATGATGGTGTCACTATGGAAAATAGTATGAAGATTCTTCAAAAATTAAAAACTAGAACTACCATATGATCCAACAATTCCACTTTTGGGTATTTATCTGAAGAAAAAGAAAACACTAACTAGAAAAGATATACACACTCCCATATTAATTGCATTATTATTAATAATAGCCAAAATATGGAAACAATTTAAGTACCAAAGCATGGATGAATGGATAAAAAAAATGTGGTATATATATGACGTAATATTATTCAGCAATAAAAAAAGAATGCAATCTTGCCATTTACAGCAACATGATGGATCTTGAGGGTGTTATGCTAAGGCAGGGATTTTCATCCCATGGCACATAGAACTAATTACTAAAATTCTGTGGTGCATCAAAAACTATATATTTTTTGCCAATCTGACAAGAAAAATAGGTATACTTTTTTTTTGTTTGTTTAAGTATGTTTTTATTGATTTTAGAGTGAGAGGGAGAGAGGCAGAAACATCGATGTGAGAAAGAAACATGGATCCCTTGGCAGCCTCCAGCATGCACCCTGCTGGGGATGGAGCCTGAAAACCCGGCATGTGCCCTGATTAGGAATAGAACCTTCGACCTTTTGGTGCATGGAAGGACACTCAATCCACTGAACCACACTGGTGGGTGAAAAATAGGTATAATTTTGATTCATTCATACCTGATGGCTACTGTTGTGTTGGCTGTTGTCATTTTTTATTGGACAATCTAAGGGAAAAGAGGTCAATGCCCCTGACTAAACAGTTAGGTATTGCATGTTTTAAAAATTCTTGCGGCACTTGTTGAAAATCACTGTGCTAAGGGAAATAATACAGAGTAAGACAAATACCCTATGAACTCTTTTATATGTGGAATAAAAAACTAACACCCCCCACCTCCCCAAACCAAGCTCATAGACACAGAGAACAATAGAACAGACTGGTGGTTACCAGGGGCTGGGGGTAGGGATGGGGGTGGGTAACATGGTTGAAGGAGGTCAAAAGGTAAAACTCCAGCTATAAATAAATAGGAACTGTGGATGTAAAGTATAGCATGGCGACTATCGTTAACAGATTGTTCATTTGAAAGTTGCTAAAAGAATAGATCTTTAAAAAATAACTCTTGGCCTCCCAAGCTGAGGACCCCTGAGCTAGCAACGTCCCTGTCCATCCCTGACGCCCACCTTTCCTCCTCCTAAATGTTAGATATATCCTTAGTATAACCATGCGCAAGGACACATCAAAGGGTTTGGAAGGGGGCATCCTACAAATTTCAAACTTTGGGAACACACAGCTGTTCTTAATTAGTTATCCAACCCCCTCTCAGGACCGTTACCATCTCAGGATCTTGTATTCGATCCTGTCCTAACCACCCTACAGTGAGTTTGGAGGGCTCCCTGACGTAGTATAGAGTTCCCCCAGGTAACGGCACAGGGCCCAGAGGAAAGCAAGAAGATGGCAAATATCTGCAAACACAAGAACGAACACTGTGGCACCGACAAGCATTCCTTGATTGCCTGGGGACTCGGACATCAAAAGAGAGCTTTGCTCTCCCAACCCTCCTCGCAATCAAGGTTTGGTTCCACGACAGACGTGCCCCGCGCGAAGGGTGGAGGGAGCTGGGGCCTGACACCGACGCCCCAGGCAGTCGGCAGGCTCGCGGGCCGTGCCAGCCGGGCGCCCGGCCCGTGACCCCGGTCTGTCGGCGGAGGGCAGGGCCCGGCGCCTCTCGGCGGCCGCGCGCGGGGACTCCAACTCCCGAGAAGCCCCGGGGCGCGCGGGGCGGGCGCAGTGTGCGCGGGCGGCGGCCGCATGGCTGCTCTGCGGGGCTCCGCGCCCGGGCTCTGGCGGCGGGCGGCGTGCGCGGCCGCGGGCTTCCGGGGACGCGGCCCGGGAAGGGGCTACGCCGCGGGCCCCGCGCAGGTGAGGCCGCAGGGCTGGCGGCGAGGCCGGGGGCGGCGGGCGGCGGGCGCGGTCGCAGCCTCCCGGGGAATGGCCGTGTGGCCGCGGACTTGAGGCGCTTCGTTCTCGCCCGAAGCTCGGAGGCCCCTGCGCGCCCTGCCCCGCCTCGGCCCCGCGGCTGTCTCCGTAGGGAGCGCGGGGACTCCGGCCGGGCATCGGCGGCACCGCCGGCCGGGCCCCAAGCTGCCCCTTGGCCTCCAGCCGCTCGTCCCCAGTCCCCGGCATGTCCGCCTCCCTGTTTTTCTGTTCATGGTACGATTCGTGGACTTTCTTTGATTTCCATGACGGGAACCCTTTGGTTATGATTTTCAACCGTTTGGAAGAGATCTGGAGACTCGTGATGACTCCCTTCCGGAGCTGCGCCAATAAGCGAACAGCCCAGACTTGAGTGTGACTTTCGTGGGGCCCATTTGCTTTGGTCCCATTGGCTTGTGGGCCTGCTTGTAATGAGCAGCGGTTACGTCGGGTTTGGGGGGTGGCAGAGGGGGGAAAACTGGCACAGAGCCCCTAATTTGTGCCAGGTACTTAAGTGATATCTGATTCTCTCAGCCTTGGAGGTAAACATGACCCTGGTGTTAGTAAGAAAGCTGAAGTTTGGAGTCACGTTTTTAAGGACTTTTTTTTAAAAAAAGGTCAAACACCTGGTAGACTACGGGGCCAGGACTCAGCTAGATAGTCATATCTGTCACCCTCACTTTACCCTGAGCCATTTGCCTTCTAAATTCCCAATTTCTGTATGTAAAAACGATAATGTTGTACATTTTTATAATGCTTTCACAGTAACCCTTGGATGTATTTTACGTTAACTACTTATTCAAAAAACACATAGTACTTTGTGTCAGGCACTATTCTAAGTACTTCACAAGTATATCATTAATCTGTATAATTTTCATAACAACTCTGTAAGGTAAGGACCATTATTACAGATGGAGGAACTGAGGCACAGAGAGGTTAAGCGATTTGCCCAAGGGCACACAGCTGGTAAGTGGCAGAATCTGGAACCGAGGGCAGTCTGGTGCCAGAGTTCTAGCTCTTAACAGCTATGTTATATTGTAATCATTTTGCCTATGGAGCAGCTAAGATTCAGAGAAGTTAAGCGACTTGGCCAGTGTCACAGAGCTAAAAGTGCCCAAGCTGGAAGCACAGAATGATAAAAGGACTGTAAACTGTAATGACATAAGTATAAAGAATAATTGCCATCATTTATAATTCTTATATTGATTCTGGCATCTTTGTGGGTCCTGAGTTATTTCTGACTGACTTTCCTGATAGACTAGAAAAAAGAAAGAAAAGGATGAGGTATATCATAGAATTTAAGAGGACTAGCGTTTGAGTTGAATCCTGCCTGTACTGTTTACTGGCTGTTTGACCTAAGGCAAATTACTTAGCTTTCTAAGCATCAGTTTCCTAATATACGTCACAGCTGTCTTACTTACCATGCAGTGTTTGGGGAAGAATATATGTATGGCACTTTCCGTGATCAATGTAGAGTTCTTTGCGCAGTGTCTGGCATATTTACTATCTCAAAGGTGGAAGTGATTGGAGGAGACAGTGAAATGGACTGTGTTGTAATGCTGCTGTTAAAAACATACCAAACCGCCCTGGCTGGTTTGGCTCAGCGGTTAGTGTTGGCCCTCTGATGGAGAGTCCTGGGTTTGGTTCCCGGTAAGGGCATGTACTCGGTTGCAGACTGTCCCCGGCCCCGGTTGGGGTCATGTGGGTGGCAGCCACTCGATGTGTCTCTCTCACATTGTTTCTCTCTGTCTCTTCCTCCCTCTTTCCCTCCTGCTCTATCTGAAGATACAAGCAAAAATGTCCTCAGGTGAGGATAAAAAACAACAACATACCAAACCGATTCTAGGTAAGCAACAAAGACAAAAGAACATCTAAATAGTCCCTTCATTTCAAATTAATCTTAAACCACACAATATGAACTTTAATTAGAGGATATGGTCTAATACCCAGGACTAGTAAAAAAAAAAAAATCAATTGATATAGAAGAAAGATGAGAATACACATTAGAAAATGAAGATAAAAAAAAATTTAGAAAGACAAAAAAATGAAGCCCCACCAGCGTGGCTCAATGCACCAAGAAGTCACAGGTTCAATTTTGGGCACATGCCCAGGTTGTGGGCCAAAACCCCAGTGGGGGGCGTGCCGGAGGCAGCCAGTTGATGTTCTCTCTCATCGATATTTCTGTCTCTCCCTCTCCTTTCCTCTCTCTCTCAAATTAATAAAGAAAATTAAAAAAAAAAACAATGAAAAGAAAAAATTTATTCCTTTGTTCTTTTCTCTAGGTACTTCCACTTTTTTTCTTATATCTTCAATTTAAAAAATACATATTTTATTTTTAGAGCAGTTTTAGGTTTATAGAAAAATTGAGCAGAAAGTATAGAAAAATTGAGCAGAAAGTCCCTCCCCTCCATTTCCTCTGTTATTAACATCCTGCATTATTAGTGTGGCACTTTTGTTACCATGTACACCTTCACTTGCTATGTTGCCGAGTGCCTGGTTCTCTGTGCATTCACCTGAGGGTTGGAGATGATGATTACTCACTATATAGTGACAGATGAGGGACGCCCAAGGATGTTGCTAAATTGTTCTGAAACTTTCCTGTTCTGAGTAGGAGGGATTGAGGATTCTATGTCTAAGAGCAAATCTTGTGACTATTTAGAATGTGGCCACTAAGACCTCTAAAACTTTTGCGGTCATCAACACAGAAGAAGATTCATTTTATTTTTTTTTAAACTATGTAAGTTTTTAGAAATCCACAAACAATAAGACAGCAGCTTCTTGAATAGCATTATTTTGTTATAAGGTTGATGAGGTTCTGTAGGAACTTAAATCTTGTTAATATCAATTCATTTTGGTAAAATTGGTTTCATTATATATCGTTTTGCTTCAAGTCACCAAACCTATAGATGATGTTAAGTGAGGACTTGCTGTATTATGAAATCCATAGACCCATCTTTCAGTCAGCAATTATTAACATTTTGCCACACTTGCTTTGCTTATCTCCTCCCCTAACCCCTCTTTTTTGTGCCTATAAGATTTTCAGTTTCTGATTGCTTGTCATTTCAACCCTATAAGAAAATAAGGACATTTTGAATATAATCACAATGCTATTATCATATGTAACAACATTAATAATTCCTTAATGTTACTTAAAATCTAGTCCTTTAGCCCTGGCCAGTTTGGCTCAGCGGTTAGAGCGGTTAGAGCGTTGGCCTGCGGTCCGGAGAGACCCGGGTTTGGTTCCCGCTAAGGGCGCGTACTTCGGTTGCAGTTTGTCCCCGGCCCTGGTTGGTCGTGTGGGTGGCAGCCACTCGATGTGTCCCTTCACGTCGATGGTCGTGTGGGTGGCAGCCACTCGATGTGTCCCTTCACGTCGATGTTTCTCTCTCTCTCTCTCCCTCCCACTCTATCTGTACAAAAATGGAAAAATATCCTCGGGTGAGGATAAAAAAAAAAAAAAAAAAAAAATCTAGTCCTTTAAAAATTTTCCCTGATTGTCTCAAAATTATGAACAAATGAGTTTAACACTTAACTTTTCAGAACAGTATGCTCTGTGTTCATACAGTACAGGAAGGAAGGTAGACCAATGTGCTAGAAAGACACAGCCCTTCAGAGTCACCAACTCTGTCCTGGCTGGTGTGGCTCAGTTGGTTGGGCATCGTTCTGTGCACTGAAAGTTTGCTGATTCGATTCTGGGTCAGGGCCCAGGCCCAGGTTGTGGGCTCGATCCAGGTACGGGCTTGCAGGAGGCAGCTAGCTGATCGATGTTTCTATCCCCCCTTCCTCTCTTTCTCTTTTCCCTTGAGAGGGGACAGGGTGGTCAGGAAGTGCCTGAGGGGAAAGGTCTCGCCTTAATTTGCCATATTATTTTGCCATAATTCTTCATTTTTATTTATTTATTTTTATCCTCAACTGAGGACATTTTTCCATTTGTTCAGATAGAGTAGGAGGGAGAGAGAGAGGAACACGACGTGAAAGGGACACATCGAGTGACTGCCACCCACACGACCAACCAGGGCCGGGGACAAACTGCAACCGAGGTACGTGCCCTTAGCGGGAACCAAACCTGGGTCTCTCTGGACCACAGGCCAATGCTCTAACCGCTGAGCTAAATCAGCCAGGGCTGTAATTCTTCATTTTTGGAGGCATTCAACATTGTCACCTTTTGTTGAGCACCTATGAGGGTCTAAGCAATGTGCCAGATTTGGGGGGTTTGAAGGCAGATCATACCGCCTTTTCCTTCAGACTCATGCAGTGACTTTGAGAAGAATAAGATGATGAAATTAGAAAAGAGCTGTGTTTCCTTTACCCAGGAAAAATCTATAGTGTTTTAAGAGATTTTATGGCCATCCTGAAATCTGTCTGTGGACCCCAATTAGAACCCCGATTCTAGTGGGATTTGTTGAGGAAAAGGAAGGGGTTGCAGATATCCTTGAGGGCCATTGGGTGCGTGAGTGTACTGTGAAGGGAAGAACTGGAACTCACGGGGTTGGGCTGGCCGGAGGTGTGGGATGACCTTGAACCTCCTGGGTTCCTGCTTTGCTCCGAGGTGTTGTCCATGTGGGCCGCTGAAGAACTCTGACTTTGCTGTGGGCTCAGTTTGCATCTAGCACTTGGGAACTGGGTCAATTTGACTAGTTTGGTTCTCTCTGAATTTAGTTTCTTATTAATTTGGTTGGATTTTCCAGTGAATACATAATGAGTACCATGTATAAACCAGGTTACTTTAGCTAGGTAATGTAAATTGGAGGTAATGACTCCCACCCCAGAGTGTTGGTACAAGGATTCGGTAAAAATATATAGCTCAGTACAATCCATAGGTGTTGGGTACAGGGCCAGCTGCTGCAGTGGAGAGTTAGAGATGCTGTTTGCTCAGGCATTTCCTGCATGGTGTTGGGACTTGACAATTTGTCCCTGGCTACTTTGTTTGCTGGTAGTCAGAGATGCTATCTTGTTGGTTTGAGTTTCTTTCCTCCTATTTTTCCAGTGTCCCTTCTCATATCCAGCTTGCACTGAAGCTGTCAGTGTGTAAGGCTGGGATGCTCTGCAGAAGCTAGTGTGAAGGAGCTGTAAGACCCACCCTTCCTGGGTGGTCTTCCCTGTTCAGTGGAGGGGAGATGGGATCTTTACTTTGTAGTTACCCTGTTATTGGTGGAAGTGGGGTAGCCCTTTCCCCAATGAGTGCTGGGGGTGGAGTTCTTCTGATATCTTGAGAAAAATAATTTTCTGAGACTCGCATGGGAAGATTAGTGCTTTTTATTTGTATTTACATCCCTGGGTTTCTAAAGTCCCATTTCCCTTAGTCCAGTTATAGAAGAAGTGTAACTGGGGCCTCAGTAGAGTTAAAATCAGAGCCAGTGTCCGTATTGCCCCCGGGTCCAGTGCGGCATCGGGCCGGTTGCAGTCCCTGAGTTCATCGTGTCTGAGGTGCGTGTGGGCACACAGGAGAATGCCAGAAAGCAGGAGCAAGAGCCCCACAGGTCAGGAGTGCACCCAGAGAGCCCAAGAGAAATCAGAAGAGCACACTTCTTTGTTCAGGGCATTAAATACCCCAAATCTTCCTGCACTTGCAGTGGCCACACCCATTCTGGCCAAGCCTTGTTCCCAAGTGACAGGCAAGTACCTTCTGTAGTCCCCCCAACTTTCCTGGGCATGTGTCTGTCTTCCCCTGTCCAGGGATCTGCGGGGAATGGACCGGTAGCTCCCTGGGGTGTTAAACTGCAGCTTCCTGGGGAAGTTGCCCAAATGACATCCCTATAATATTTGGCCTTCCCTTTGCTCCTTTCCTGTTACTAATAACCAGGCTAATTACAACAGTGTCAACTCCATTTTTATTTGCCTTGTTCCAGAAACTCGTCTCTCAGTCTCCTTGACCTGCACCCTCTTGCTTTTTCTCCTCACGCTAATGGCTGTTCCTTGTTCTTCCGCTGGTGACTCTTACACGGCCGCCCTTACGTGGCGATGCTCTGCCTGGTTCTCTGTGAGCCCGGCTCCGGTCTGACTGCTTCTCAGGCTCTCCTGTCCTCTGAGAGCAGAGGCCGTCGAGATTTTCATCTCTCGGACTTTGTCCAGTGCTGATATCTCCACTTGCCGTGCTTCAGGTCCCACGTGCGCCCTATCTTCAGGTCCTCCCGGCCTTCCAGCTGCGGCCCTTCCGAGGTCTTCGGGTCAGCGAGTGACACCAGCATCCACCCTCCCAGGTTCTCAAGCCAGAGAGAGCATGGAGTTTCCGTGGCCCTGCCCTCCTCCCCTGCGTCCGCTTCTTTCCAGGCCTGGCGTTCTGCCTTCTGCTGGGATCTGCCTCATAAGTGGGACTGCGGGGTCATAAGGCAGTTACATTTTTTTTTTAACTCAGGCTTTTATTTTTTATTCTCACCTGAGGACATTTTTGCATTTATCTTGAGATAGAACAGGAGGGAGAGAGGGAGGAAGAGAGAGAGAGAGAGACATCGATGTGAGAGAGACACATCGAGTGGTTGCCACCCACACGACCCCAACCAGGGCTGGGGACAAACTGCAACCCAGGTCCATGCCCTTAGTGGGAACCAGCCCGCATCTGGTCTGCGGGCCGACGCTCTAACTGCTGACCCAAACCAGCCAGGGCAGAAAGATAATTTTTAACAAAATAGTTATGTGCTTTAAAATACAGGAAAAGGCCCTGGCCGGTTTGGCTCAGCAGTTAGAGCGTGGGCCTGCGGTCCCGAGAGACCCGGGTTCGGTTCCCACTGAGGGCATGTACCTCGGTTGCAATTTGTCCCCGGCCCTGGTTGCTCGTGCGGGTGGCAGCCACTTGATGTGTCCCTTTCACATCGATGTTTCTCTCTCTCTCTCTCTGTTCCTCTCTCTCCCTCCCACTCTACCTGAACAAAAAATGAAAAAATGTCCTCAGGTGAGGATAAAAAAAAAAAATTTAAAATACAGGAAAAGGACTAATTCTTTGTTATTGATGGGTTTGCTCTATCAGAAGTCGCTTGTCGGGGGTGGGAGCAGGGAGGAAGGGGTCAATGGGGGCAAAGGGGGGACATCTGTAATACTTTCAACAATAAAAAAGAGAAAGAAAAGAAATCCCATGTCCTTTTGTGTCTCAGGCCTGGGCGCCCTGCGAGTGATGTGGACCCTTTTCTAAGGGTCTTTTCCTGCCCCCTCTGCCTTTTGACTCAGGCAGTGGCCCCTCTCTTCCCCCTCTGCAGAGTCCGCCTACCTTTGGGTTCCTGCTGGACATCGATGGAGTGCTGGTGCGGGGCCATAGAGTGATCCCTGCTGCTCTGAAGGCCTTCCGCAGGCTGGTGAGTGCCCAGGGGCAGCTGCAGGTGCCTGTGGTCTTTGTCACGAATGCTGGGAACATCTTACAACATGGCAAAGCCCAGGAGCTGTCAGCCCTGCTGGGCTTCAAGGTAAGGAGACAGCTGGAGGCATGGAAGCTCAAGCATGCGGTTCCCAGTGGGGCCCCCACTCCAGCTCTGACTAAGCCTTTTTCCCTGGGGTGGAGTATAGTGTTGATCCGCCCGAGGGCGTGGCCCATTGGTTCAGTACAAATCTTTCAATTCTGCTGGAAAAAGAGCTTGGAGTTCGAGCCCAGCCTCATGAGTAGAGCTGCATTAGCAGGGTTGTTTTTGTGTACATGTACGTGTTGAGTACAGACATTCCGCCATGGAGTTGGCAGTTCAACCTACTGTCTTTGTACCCATTTCTCTTCTGGGCACCAGGGTTGTCTCTTTTGAATTGTCAGCCCCTAGAAAGCAAGCGTTGCATTTTTCTTTCTTTTTTTTTAAATGTGTTTCTTATTGATTTTTTAGAGAGAGAGAAACATCACTGAGAGAGAAACATCCATCAGCTGCCTCCTGCATGCCTCCTACTGGGGATCAAACCCACAACCTGGTCATGTGCCCTGACCAGGAATCGAACCAGCAACCTCTTGGTTCATGGGACAGCACTCAACCACTGAACCACACTGGCCGGGGCAAGGTTGCATTTTTCTCAATCTCTGTATACTAGGTGGGGCTCTGAAGTAGCGGCCTTTGTTTCTTATAAATAAGATGCACGCATGTGAATGAGTCCTGTCCCCTCAAAGCAGTTCCTCTTCACCCACTCACAACTCCACATGTATCTCACGGTGACACACTCATTCTTTTTCTAAAATATGCGTTTTCATTGGCCCTGGCTGATTTGGCTAGTGGTTAGAGCGTTGGCCTACGGACCAGAGAGTCCTGGGTTCGGGTTTCACTAGGGGCACATATCTCGGTTGCAGTTTATCCCCGGCCCCAGGGTCATGTGGGTGGCAGCCACTCAATGTATCTTTCTCACGTTGATGTTTCTCTTTCTCCCTCCTGCTCTATCTGAAGATAAGTGAAAAAATGTTCTCGAATGAAGATAAAAAAAATAAATAGATAAAATATGTTTTCATTGATTTTTTTAAGAAAGAGGAAGGGAGAGATAGATAGAAACATCAATTGGTTGCCTCCCGCATACCCCCTACTGGGGATCAGGCCTATAACCTGGGAGTTGAACTGGAACCTCTCAGTCCATGGGACGGTGCTCAGTCCACTGAGCAACACCGGCTGGGTGATACACTCATTCTTTGTTGAGGATGGATACAGTTTTGGGAAAGAATACTCGAAACCGAGAAAGTAAATGAAGTGCTTGAGGATAAATGCAGAGAGTAAAGGCATAAAACTGTTTCCTTCTGTGGTTTTCAGAGAGGGTTTCAAAAACTCTCTGAGAAAGGGCGGCATTGTTGTAATTAGTATAAATGTTAGAAAGCTAAGTCTGTAGGGAGAACTGAATTGGAAGTCCGAGTTGGAGGCAGAGCGTGCGGCAGTGACGGAGAACGTGCACCACCCCTGTGCTTTGCAGCCGGAGCTGAGCGTGAGCGGGAGGAGTGGGAGCGCAGCACCCACGCCATGGAGGTCCTGCTTGCTTGTTTGTATGGCAAGAACTACATTAGACTGCTAGTTCTCACACCGTTAGGATCGTTTTTAGGAGCTAGGAGGGGGTCCCCCCCCCCCGCTTCTTTTTCTGGGCCCTCGAAAGAAGCTGCTATTTATCTCCCATTCTTTTCCCTCAACTCTGTGTCTTTCTGTTCTCCCTGTCTCTTGGCTCTCCCTGCAGGTGGAGCCAGATCAAGTTATTCTCTCTCACAGCCCCATGAAGCTCTTCTCGCAATACCACGAAAAGCTGATGCTGGTGTCTGGGCAGGGACCACTGGTGGAAAATGCCCAAGAGTATCCTTTTGGTGCTTCTAGCTCTGGCTGAAAAGGAAGGGGCAGGACTAGGGCCTTTTCTCCCACAGCTGAGTAGGGACCATTACGCGTGTGGGACGCAGGGTGCCGGACCTCACTGGGGTGTGGTTGGCTCTTGATGTGGGGGACAGCGCTTAGGTGTGGCCAATCCCAGCACCTGGTGGTTCCCAAAAGCCAGCCCACTGCATCAGACCTTCTGGGGAGCTTAAAATACAGATTACTGGAGAGTTTTGTGTCACTAGATCTGAGATAAAAATCAGCAATCTGTGTTTTAAAAAAGGAAGCTAGGTGATTCTGTAATTAGGTTTGGAAACCACTGCTCAAGGGCTGCTGTTCAGGGTGCTCAGTCAACTTGTCTGCAAGGTTAATGAGGTCTCTACAGTGCATTCATCCTGTGGGCTGTGTGCGCATTCCCAAGGCAGGGGGTGGTCCTCGTTTTTGAGCAGCTAGTTTATTTGTTCCTCCTGCAGACCCTGCCTAGCACCCCTGTGTCCAGCACTGTGTGTAGGCTCCGAGGGGACTGGGGCCGGGGCACTGTGGGATTGCGAATTAATCCAGGGGCTCCTACGTGAGGCAGGAACAACATACCCCCATCAATAAAGGAGTATTTCAGATGGCATGGGATTGAAGACCTAGAAGAGCAGTGTGGGTTCTGGGTGTGACGAGTGTCAGGAACATCCTCGGAGCAGGAACTGCTTGTGCGTCATGGGGGGCATGGCTGTGCCGCAGGAGAGGGTTCCGGCTTTCCATGCAGGGCAGTAGCTCAGGAGGCTGGAAAGAGAAGGGATGGCGAAGATCCTGGAGCAAAAGACTGGAATGGGACAGGGTGGAAATGAGGACGGGAAGCGGGTGCTGGGGAGGAAACTGAGTGAGCGAGGGAAGCAAGCGAATTTGTCATGAGGGCAGTAGGGAGTCTAGGTTTATTGCCGATGGAATCATCTCATGGAAACACCATTTTTGGAAACTATTTTGAGAGTAATCTGAAACCATGTTTAGTTAAGCTCACAAATGGGAATTAAGGGCAGGAAAATGGAGGCTGGAGCTGGCTTACCTCTCCCCATGGCCTCCCCATCCTGGTGGATCCAATTCCTCTTAAAGCTTCAGTTCAAGTCTAACTTCTCTAGACCCTTTGCCCAGCTACCCAGGCCGATGAGCAGTCTCCCCTTCTGAACTTCTCGGCACACAGTGGCGGCACTTCACAGAGTGCTGGATGCAAGGGACTTTGGGCAGGGTTAAGCCCCCTGAGGACAGAGGCTCTGGTATGACTTGTGCCCTGGCTTTGCCCAATGTAGGGTCTGGCACCTAGAGTGTACCCAGTGACCAGTGGGGTATGGCCTTGGAAGGACACAGCCCGCTGTCGCCTATGCACGCATGGCCCGCCTGGCAGCACCAGGGTGGTACCCTCTGGGCTCTGTCTGGACTCATTGGTTCACTCCTGACTGGTGACTGGGTACACTAGTTTGATCAGGAGTGGGTTGGTTCCGTTCCTTTAAAGGCATCTTCCCCCCAGAACTGTCCAGCTTCGTTTCCTGAACTCACTGTAGACTGGGCTTCAAGAATGTGGTGTCTGTGGACGAGCTGCGGGTGGCTTTCCCTGTGCTTGACATGGTGGATCTCCAGCGGCGGCCAAAGACCACGGTAATAAGGAGAACACACCTGGGGTTTTGTGTTTGATTATGTCCTCCTGTTCCTCCATGGGCTCCTCTTGCTGGTCTTGCAACCCATGCCCCTTAGAGCTGCAGTTTGTCCACGTTCTGCAGGCTGCCTTCTTGGAGAGGCACATCTGGCCGAGGACTTGTTCCCCAGATATACAGAATGGCCGAGAGGAGCCACGCAGTTCTAGGGCCTTCCTTTCTGTGCTGTTGGTGATTAGCTGAGAACCTGTTAGAGCCCTAGCACCTCCTCCAGTTGGTAGCTTTGTATTTTACCAGCACTGCCTGGGAGAATTCTTCACCTTTGCGAAATCCTTTATTGCTCTACTTTATGCTGAGGCAGTTTCCTTGTGAGAAGCAGCAGCTTATAAAGATAACTGGCAGTTCTGAGAGTCTGCTGTGTTACCTTTGGAATCAGCTGATATTTGAACCACTGGTCTGATTTTGTATCTTTTCTGGTCAGTAGTCACAGGACCTCTCATTGATCCTCTAGGGTGAGACTGTCCCAGCCCTCTTTTCTGTATCAACTCTATATACTTATATCATGTAGCGTATATTTTAAGTCAGACAACTATCAAAATGTGATGAAATGTGTTATGAATGGATAAGCTCATTCACTTCTATAGCTTTAGTCCCTCCTCCAGGCTTTCTCATTAAAGTAGGGCACGCCATTGCCTTGGAGAGCTTTCATCTGGGACCGTGCAACTGCGTGCACAGCCAGAATGTCAGAACTGGACAGATCCTGGAACAGCTCAGACACTGAGCCTCACACAGGGGACGTGACTCGCTGCAGGTCGCACAGCTGGTTAGTGGTAGAGGCAAGACTGGGACAGTCAGTCGGGAGAGAACGGAGGCAGTTGGCAGCCTGGAAGCTCCTGCCTCCTCATCCGACATCAGGAGACATGGTCTCACACCCTGACGGCCTCCTCCGCAAGCTCACCTTCCTCTGTAGCTACCTGATTCTAGCCTCTTGCTTGACCCCTATCTTGCTTCCTGTCCTTGCTGGGAAAGATAGCTGACCAGCCTTTCCTCCTAGCTGGCTTTCTGTGTGGTATCCCTCCACCCGTTCTGTGAAGAGCCTGGTCATTCTCTCTTCACCTTCCTTCACGAATCTTCTTCCTCAGTCTTATTTGGCTTTTCCTCAGCTTGGGCTAGACCCTGGGGTGGTCTTCGATCCTGTTTGGAATGCGTCTTTCCTTCTCACCCACCCTGGAAACCAGTGTGTGTTGTTCAGTAGTGGAGAGTGGCCGTTGCATTGATGGGCTTTTTCTTTGTCTCTTGGCAGCCCCTTCCAAGGAACGGCTTCCCCACCATTGAAGGTAATGAGGCCCCTCCTTGTGCTGGCCGGGTCTGGGTTATTGCTTCTCCTTTCAGGCCCTCCAGGCTGCTGTAGCCAGGGGCATTGAGCTTAGGGCCCCTGGCTCTGGTCTTGGCTCTGCCACTCACCACCTCTGAGATGTTTGTTATTAATCTTTCCTTCTCCAAATCACTTGCCTTCTTATTCCAGAAAACTTATAAACTTAGAAAATCTTAGAGTAGGAAGGTACCTAGTGGTAATGTAGTCCAACTTTCCTTAGCCCCATTAAACCCAGTTCTCTCCTGTTTAACAAAAACATTTTAATGTCTCCTTTACTGACCTGAAATGAGATTCATAGACAGTATATCTTCCTCTACACATATGTTAAATATTAATTAGTGTAATATAACCATAATAGGAGAAATAAAAGGAAACAATTTTAGTAAGATAATATGTATTTCAATATGTAATAATTATCCAAAAAGACATAATGAAGTAGTAAAGTGATTGAACCAAATGTAGAATCACCATGAATGTTACAGCTACAAATGCAGACTGATACTTGTTTATAGGTGTGATATAGGTGTATGTGTTTATTGGTGACCCAGAAATTAGGGGCGGTACAGTCTCCCACAACTGAACCGGGAAGAGATAGAAAACTTGAACAGACCAATAACAACAAAATAAATTGAAGATGTAAGCAAGACTCCCAGCAAACAAAAGCCCAGGCCCGGACAGCTTCACAGGGGAATTTTACCAAACATTCAAAGAAGAACTAATACCCATTCTCCTCAAACTATTTCAAAAAATTCAAGAAGAAGGAAGACTTCCAAACTCATTTTATGAGGCCAGCATAATTCTAATTCCAAAACCAGAAAAAGACACTACAAAGAAAGAAAACTACAGGCCGGTATCCCTGATGAACATAGATGCCAAAATCCTGAACAAAATACTAGCAAATTGAATCCAGCAATACGTCAAAAAATTATTCACCAAGACCAAGTGGGATTCATCCCAGGGATGCAAGGCTCATACAATATTTGCAAATCAATAAATGTGATACACCACATAAACAAAATGAAAGATAAAAATCATATGATCATATCAATAGACGCTGAAAAAAGCATACGACAAAATCCAGCACCTATTTCTGATAAAAATGCTCAGCAATGTGGGAATAGAGGGGTCATATCTCGACATAATAAAGGCAATATATGAAAAGACCTACAGCCAACATCATACTCAGTGGGCAAAAACTAAAAGCATTTCCCTGAAGAACAGGAACAAGACAAGGATGCCCACTTTCCCCACTCTGATTTAACATAGTGCTGGAAGTCGTAGCCACAGCAATCAGACAGGAAGAAAAAATAAAAGGGATCCAAATTGGAAAGGAGGAAGTGAAATTATCATTATTCACAGATGACATGATACTATACATAGAAAATCCCAGACTCCATCAAAAATTTACTACTTAATAAATGAATTTGGCAAAGAAGCAGGATACAAAATTAACGTCAAGAAATCGACGGCATTCTTATACACCAATGATGAACTCACAGAAAGAGACACTAAAAGAACAATCCCATTTACCATGCAGCAAAAAAATTAAGATACCTAGGAATAAACTTAACCAAAGAAATAAAGGACCTATTTGCGGAATACTACAGGTCATTGAAAAAGAAATAGAGGAAGATATAAAAAAGTGGAAACACATACCTTGTTCATGGATTGGAAGAATTAACATCATTGAAATGTCCATATTGCCTAAAGCAATCTATAGATTCAATGCAATCCCCATCAAAATACCAACGACATACTTCACAGAACTAGAACAAACACTCCAAAAGTTCATATAAAACTAAAAAAGACCCCGAATAGTCACAGAATCTTGAAAAAGAAGGACAAAGTAGGAGGGATCACATTACCAGATTTCAGGTTATACTACAAAGCCACTGTAATCAAAACAGCCTGGTACTGGCAAAAGAATAGGCAGATATATCAATGGAATAGAATAGAGAACCCAGAAATGGACCGAAGACTATATGCTCAATTAATATTTGACAAAGGGGGCAAGAGCATACAATGGAGTAAAGACAGCCTCTTTGATAAATGGTGTTGGGAAAATTGGACAGCTACATGCAAAAAAATGAAACTAGACCATCAACTTACACCATACACAAGAATAAACTCAAAATGGATAAAAGACTTAAATGTGACTCATGATTCCATAAAAATCCTAGAAGAAAATGTAGGCAACAACATTTCAGACATTATACGCAGCAGAATTTTCATTGATACATCACCTAAGGCAACAGAAACAAAGGAGAAAATGAATACATGGGATTACATCAAGCTCAAAAGCTTCTGCACAGCAAAAGAAACAACTACCAAAATGAAAAGGCAACCCACTCTATGGGAGAGCATAATTGCCAATGATACAGCAGATAAGGGGTTAATTTCCAATATATAGAGAGTGCTCATACAACTCAATAAAAGTAAGACAAAGAACCCAATTAAAAAATGGGCACCTCTCCAAATAGGACATACAAATGGCTAAGAGACATATGAAGAAATGCTCAACATCACTAATCATCAGAGAGATGCAAATTAAAATAACTATGAAGTATCACCTCACACCTGTCAGAATGGCCACCATCAACAAACCATCAAACAAGTGTTGGTGAGGGTGTGGAGAAAAGGGGACTCTAGTACACTGCTGGTGGGAATGCAGACTGGTGCAGCCACTATGGAAAACACTATGGTGTTACCTCAAAACATTAAAAATTGAACTGCCATTTGACCCATTGATCCTACGTCTAAGAATATACCCTAAGAAGCCTGAAACATCAATCAGAAAGAATATATGTACCCCCATGTTAGTAGCATCACTATTTACAATAGCTAAGATCTGGAAACAGCCCAAATGTCCATCAGTAGATGAATGGATTTAAAAAGCTGTGGTACATATACACAATGGAGTACTACGCAGCTATAAGAAACAAAGATATCGTATCCTTTGAGATGACATGGAGGGTCCTGGACAGTATCATCCTAAGCGAAACAAGCCAAAGAAAGAAAGACAAGTTTCATATGATCTCACTTATTTGTGGAATATAATGAACATAACAGTCTGAGGAATGGGGTAGTCCCAGAGATGTGGAAGTGGGGTACAGACTGACAATCCCCAGAAGAGGGGGTGGGGAGGAGATAGACCACAGAACTTATATGCATGTGTGCATGAACAATGGACATGGACAACAAAGCTGGGGACAGGGCAGTGAGGGAGGGGGAGAGGAGAATCAGTTGGGGGGGAAGGAGAAACATCTGTAACAAAAATAAATTAATTAATTAAAAAAGAAAGAAATTAGGGTCAGTATCATCATTGGTGAAGTGAAGTGATTTTGCAAAATAAGGGACTAAACTCTTGGTAATATTTAGAAAAAAATAAAGTGTGGTCTTCTCTTGACTTATGTGATAATTACATTTTTTGTTTGTTTTTTGAAAAATTAGTTTATTAAAACTACCAAAACAGCTCAGCCAGTGTGGCTCAGTTGAGCATTGTTCCATACACCAGCAGGTTGCTGGTTTGATTTCTGGTCAGGGTACATGCCCAGGTTGTAGGCTCGATCCCCGGTAGGGGGAGTGCAGAGGCAGCTGATCCATGCTTCTCTCTCAATGATGTTTTTCTCTCTCTTCCTTTCTCTCTCTGAAATCAATAATATATATAAAACAAAACAAGAACTACCAAAAAGTACTTTGAGTTTATATGTGGAGTGGAATTAGGTTTTAGGCTCAATTAGTTATAAATGGGTTGTTCCCCTACGTGAATACCAGATGGGACATTCAAATGTTTAAACACACTGGCAGTTTTCGACTGAGCAGGACTGTCCTGAGTATCTGGCATCCCTAGCCCCCTCCCATAATCCTCACCACTGAGTACCAGGCATTGGGATGATTAAAATACATCCCTCGGCTTCTGGAACACCTCCCTAGGAGGCAGTGGTTCAGTTCCCTGGTCTTGTAGCTGATGTTGCAGCTTCCATGTGCTGAGTACTGTATTTATTATATCTCATTTTTATTCTCATAATGATAGTTGGTGGAGTTACTCTGTAGTTGAGGAAGCTGAGGCTTAGAGAAGGTGAGTGACGTGCCCGCAGCTGGGGGAAGTTGGCACAGTCCGCCTTGGAGGTCAGGTCTCTCAGTCTGCATCCCGCTCTCCTAGCTGTTGGGTGTTTTGGCTCCTGGGGCTCGAGGGAAGTGGCTGAGAAGGTGAGCACTTTGCCAAGGTCTGTGGGTGCGGTGGTGGGGAGAATATCAGTCAGCAGGAGGAAATGGGCCTGAGACTTGCTGTTGCTTGTCTTGTTTTTGACTTCTGTGAAGTATGGTGGACACAGTGACAGTGCGAGCCCGGAAGGGGTGCCTTCCTGGGCCCTGGGCTTTGCTCACCTTGGGTGAACAGGTGAGCGGCTCTTTCGAGGCTATTCAGGGAACCATGCCCTTGCCAGGACGAGGGTACGGTGGGGGAAGAGCTTGTGGTAGAGTGGCCTCAGCTGGCCTCTGCTAGTTTCTGGGGCCTTGCTCCTGCCCCCTGACCCCTACCTTTGCTCTTTAAAGGTGTGCTTCTTCTTGGGGAGCCAGTACGCTGGGAGACAAGCCTGCAGCTGATCATAGATGTCCTGCTCAGCAATGGGAACCCTGGGACCGGTGTGGCGACAGCCCCCTATCCCCATCTCCCTGTCCTGGCCAGTAACATGGATCTTCTCTGGATGGCGGAAGCCCGCATGCCCAGGTGAGGGCATTATCTCTGGCCTCCAGCCTGGTGGCCCGTTTTCAGCTGTCGCCTGAGCGTCCAGCGGACAGAGGCGCTGGGCCTTCAGACCTGCACCTGGCTAGGCCCTGTGGCTGTCACAGAACCTTGACCTTCTGGGAGGCGTTTCAAGAGTCACTTCCATACTGATTATTAAATGAAAACTGCGACTTACTGAACACTGAAGATGTATTGAGGATTTTTTTTATCCTCATCCGAGGACATTTTTTCATTTTTTGTTCAGATAGAGTGGGAGGGAGAGAGAGGAAGAGAGAGAGAGAGAGAAACATCGACACGAAAGGGACACATCGAGTGGCTGCCACCCACACAACCCATCCAGGGCCAGGGACAAACCCCAACCGAGGTACGTGCCCTTACGGGAACCGAACCCGGGTCTCTCTGGACCGCAGGCCGACACTCTAACCGCTGAGCCAAACCGGCCAGGGCTATTGAGGTGATTTTTAACAAACAGCCCTTGCCCTCCAGAATGTTAACAGAACAAGTTCTTTTTGACAAGAGGAACCCAAGTGGTCAGCTTCTGAGATGTATCAATGCAAATTATTTAACTGCCCTTCCTTGCCTTCACCCTGTGGCATAGATTCTTTCACATCTCTGTTTCCTTCTGCCCTTACGTAGGAGCAGGGGAAGGAAAGAATTGTTCTGCCCAGAGAACTGGGACCCAGTGGGCTAAGTGACTTTCTCAGAGGCCAGGGGTTGTGAGCAGCCCCACGTACTCCCTGCACAACCGTGTAGAGCTTACTCGTCCTGTCGTCCTCTGAGGTTGAGCACCGTGGAGGCAGCCCTGTGTCTGGCCTTGCAGGCGCCACCCTGGAGTGGCAGCTCACGGCTGCTGTGCTGTTTGGCTGCTCTTGTCTGCAAGGCCGAAGTCTAGAGTTTTCTCCCCGCCAGTGACTCCCAGTGAGCTGGGCGAGGGGCCCCTCATTGCCTCAAGTCACGCCACTCAGTAGCCCCTAGGAGCTGGGGATTACAGTGTTCTCTCTCGTTACTTTTCAAGTATTTTTCTTTAGCTTGAGGTTAGGTATTTTTTCTGAAGTATTCTTCCTAGAGTTAGGGTATCTGACTCTAGGTCAAGGGGGTTTGGTTATATAGGCTGTGAACTGAACAGTAAGGGGCAGATTTCAATTTATAAACCAGTTTGAGTTTAATCTTTCATTCAGTAGTTTAAAAATTGAAAATAGAATTTATTACGTAAATACATGACACAAATATAACTTCAGGATTTTGTGCAGTATCAGTTCATATTTGGTTTAGTGGCGAAGGATGAAAACCCGAAACAAAAATATCTTAAAGAAGATAGAAGTTTCTTTCTCAGGTGAAATAAGTGGGGTGGGACGCCCATGTCTTGTACGGAAGCTGCACCTGTCCGGGACCCAGGCACCTGTCTTCCTGCTGTGCAGTCGTAGCCCTTTGCCACACAGTCCAGATGGCTGCCCGCACTCAGCGTCCTCGGGCAGCAGGGAGGGACGGAGGCTGGAGAGGGGCGTGGGCCCCCTGGTTTAGAGACACTTCCTAGATGTTCAGCCCAGCACTTCTACTTTCGCTGACTGTTTGTTGATGGTGCAGTCACAGGGCCACACACCCAGCTGCAGAGGAGAAAGGGAATGCGGTGTTTACACTTGCTCAGCTGAAAATCGGCAGAGTTTGAACTTTCTGCAGTCCTCTTGTCCTGGGGTATAATCCTAGTGCTGCCCCCTGGGCAAGTTACTCAGTCTCTTTATGCCTGTTTCCTTACTTATGAGAACAGACATCCGATAGGGTTTTTCTGAGAATTAAATGTGATATGCATCTCCAGTGTTAGAACAGTGCTCAATAAATGTTATTAGATAACAGCAGGTCATAAATGAAAGCAATGAATGTAGTTCTTACTAGAAGTAATTTCATTCTGACCTGTCACCACTGGGGGAACGAAAGCCCAGGGAGGGACGACCGAGCCGCTGAGCCGTCTTCTCTGGCAGGTTTGGCCATGGCACCTTCCTGCTGTGCCTGGAAACCATTTACCGCAAAGTGACAGGCAGAGAGCTGCAGTACAAGGGCCTGACGGGCAAGCCCAGCATCCTCACTTACCAGTATGCGGAGGAGCTCATCAGGCAGCAGGCGGAGAGGCGGGGCTGGGCTGCCCCCATCCGGAGGCTCTACGCTGTAGGGTAAGCTCTGTCCATCTCCTGGCCCTTTCGCAGCTTCCCCTCCCCCCCTCCCTGGCCCGCTCATCCGCCTTGTTGCCCTGTGCTTAGTGGACACCCTTTGCCCCACAATTGCCCTTTGCTCTCTGCACCTTACAAAACTGAACTTGGGTTTTCTCCTCTTTTCTTTTCCGGTGTGGCTGTGCCCCTGCCAGTGATAACCCTATGTCTGATGTCTACGGTGCCAACCTGTTCCACCAGTACCTGCAGATGGCGAAGCGTGAAGGGGCAGAGGAGCTGGGGGCCGGTGGTCTGTGGAAGCAGCGGCCCTCAGCAGCCCAGAGCTGTGCCTCCATCCTGGTGTGCACTGGCGTGTACAGTCCCACGGCCGTGGGGTCCACAGAGCCTGTGCGGGGAGGAGAGGAGCCTCCCTTCCATGGGCACCGGGACTTCGGCTTCAGTCCGGGGCTCATGGAGGCGTCCCACGTTGTGAATGATGTGGACGAGGCTGTGCAGCTGGTTCTCCACAAGGAGGGCTGGGCTTTGTTGTGAGGACTGTGTTCGCGGCCAAGGGAGAGGGCCGCCCGGAGCTGTGGGTGAGTCCCACTTGCTGGCTTCTGGCCTGGATCACAGGGCGTCATGTGAGGGCCTGCCCCCCGGGATGCTCTTCCCACCGCCCCACAGATGTGACACTACTGGGCATTGGGACGAAGACACTGACTTTTCCCCCTGCTGGGCAGTAGCCACAGAATTGTACCCTGGGTAGCATTATGGGTAGAAGTATCAGGAGTTTCTGGGTCCAATTCCTGTGTGCTTGTCCTGGCAGTCTACCTCTGTGCCTCGTTTCCTCCTCATCTCAGTAGGGACTTCTGGGAGAAGGGGGCGATCTGGGGTAATGTGGATTGTCTGCAGGGCGTCCGCCTGCGCTCAGGGAGCCGTGTGCCCACCAGGTGTCTACACTCAGAGGCTGCTTTCCATTGTGTCCCAGCTTACTGCCCAGAGGCTTTTGAGCTTATTTTTAAAAATTAAATAATCATAATAAATATTCATTATGCCATCTCTTATGAAGCTCTATCTGGAATGTACTTCAAAGTCCTGTGGGGGAAGGCTACTGGGTGAGGGGTGTGGGTGACCTGGAGGCGACGAGACCGGTCGCCTTTCACTCCCGGGGGAATCGGTGCCTCGTGTCCACCGCCGCTCCCTCTCCCCTCGTCCGGCTGTGCGGCAGGTCTGTTTAGGAATGAGTTGTGCCCAGGCTTCGGCATACACTTAGCAACTTCCCTGGTAAGGAGAAGAAAAAGAATCTTGCCTGTGGTTTGTTCTAAAGGAAGGAGCTTTCCCCACAGTGGTTCTAGAGTGTGTTTCCTTATCCTGCCTTAGGGGCCACCCAGTCCCCTCTCCACGCCTGTCACCCTGCATCCGCCAACCCCAAGGCAGTTCTTCCCTCCCTTTCTGCAGCTGCCCTTTGCTGGGACACCAGCGGCTACCCTTCCCCCTTCTCAAAACACTGTGTCGTCGTTTCGAGTGGAGGGAGCAAAGAGGTCAAGAAAGTGGCCAGTGAAATAGGAGGGAACTTGAGAGCTGGTGTCTTGGAGGCTGAATGAAGAACATGTTTCCTGAAGGAGGTAGTGATGAACTGTGCTCACTGTAGGTGTCAGAGCTTAACCCTGCCCAACACCCAGCGCAGCCGGATCCCACTCTAGCGCCCAAACATCTGGCCCGCCGCTGCCCCCACTGCGGACAGGAGCAGCTCCTCCTGGTGGTGTCTCGGAGGCTTGGGCTCAGCCTTGTCTTCTCTCCCATTTCCCACGTCTAGTCCATCAGCAGATCCTGTCCGCTTTGCCCTCAGAATGGACCCAGTGTGTGAGCACGTCCCGACTTACACCACCACCGTGGGCCGGCCGGCTGCAGCAGCCTCGGGTCTGCCTCCCTGTCTCACCTCTTCGCTCCCTCCCCACTCCCTGGCCCAGGGTCGGGTCATGAGTTTGATCTGTTCTCTGATCAAACCCTCCTGTGACTTCTCCGCTCACTTGGAGTAAAAGCCCGAGCTCCTTCCACGGCATAGATCCCGTTCCCCCACTTCCTTCGGTCCTCTCGTAGCAGCCCACTGGCCGCCGCCGCCCCTCCACCGCCCGCCTCAGGCTCCGTGTCTCCAGTGTCCCCAACGCTCCTTCCCCCTCTTCTCACTCCTTGAAGAGGGGACAAAAGATGGTGGAAGAGTCACCTCAAAGACCCCCTCAACTTTCTATTGAAACGTTCTTACCCTACTTAATGTTCCCTATTCCTTATCACCTCATGACTTGTATTTGCTCCTTATTCTGTCTTCCAAAACATAAGCTCCACGGACTCCGTCTGCACCGATTCACTCGTGTATCCCCACACCTGCGTGCTTGGCAATGGGTAGAGTTACCGACCCTGTGCGTCCTGGAGGGTCCTGGGAGACAAACATGACTTTCTGTTCTTTCTTCTCTCTCGGGGAGCATAACAACAGTGAGAGACTGCGGGCCCTGGAGTCAGACGGGCCTGGAATCTAGTCCCAGGACTATCGCTCATTTAGCCAGATGGCCCGGGGCAGTTCCCTTCACTTCTCCAAGTTATTTTCTCATCTGGGAAATTGGCAGTGTGTGTTTCATAAATAAGCTATTTTAAGTACACTACTGTGTCATTCAGGATACTGTTCAGCTGCATATTACAGATGTCTGACTCCAGTGGCTTGAAAAAAATAGATGGTTCTCTTTTTAAACAACCGGAAGTTCAGAGGTAGGCATTTCAGGCTGGGAAATAGCTCAGGGGTTTCATGAAAAACCCAGGTGCTGCCCTGGCTGGTTGGGCTCAGTAGTTAGAGTGTTAGCCTGTGGACAGAAGGGTCGAGGGTTCGATTCTCGGTTGAGGGCACACGCCTGGGTTGCAGGTTTGATTCCCAGCCCTGGTTGGGGTCAGGTGGGAGGCAGTCAATGTGTCTCACATCTATGTTTCTCTCTCTCTCTCCCCCTCCCTCCCCTCCTGCCACCCTCCCTTTCACTCTGTCTAAAAATCAATGGGAAAATATCAACACTCAGGTGCTTGCCCACTGTCCTTAGCGTATATGTTTGTCCAGTTGCAAGATGTACCCGTATACTTTCAGGCCTCGCCATATTCCAAGGAGAAGGAAAGGGCAGAGATCTTTTTTATTTTATTTTTATCCTCACTCGAGGACATTTTTCCATTTTTTTTTGTTCAGATAGAGTGGGAGGGAGAGAGAGGAAGGGGGAGAGAGAGAGAAACATCAATGTGAAAGGGACACATCGAGTGGTTGCCACCCGCACGACCCAACCAGGGACAAACTGCAACCGAGGTACATGCCCTTAGCAGGGACCGAACCCGGGTCTCTCTGGACTGCAGGCTGATGCTCTAACCGCTGAGCCAAACCGTCCAGGGCAGAGCAGAGATCTTCTAAAGAACTTTCCCAGAAGTTCCACCTTCAGACTTGCAGTTCTGTGTGACTGGCTCCAGCTGGGCCACACGGACGCCGTGGCCGCTGGGAGGCAGGGGTGGGGCGCGCTGTTGCTCAGACAGAATCAGGGTCTATTTAGGAATGCTGGCGGAGTGGGTGTTGGGTGGCGGCTTGCGGTGCAGTACCAGTACCTGGGACCCAGAAGGCATTTAACCGTGATCACTTCTTCAAGAGCTCTATGGAAACCAGCACCTTGTCTGTTATCTGAGCCACTGGGTTGGGTAATAGTTGCCAACTTACATTTGCTTATTAGGTAACCTTTTCCAAAGCATTTTATTATTTTATTTTATTTTATTTTTTTATCCTCACCTGAGGACATTTTTGCATTTATCTTCAGATAGAGGGAGGAAGAGAGAGAGAGAAATATTGATGTGAGAGAGATACATTGACCAGTTGCCATCCACACAACCCGAACTGGGACCAGTGATGGATTGCAACCAAGGTACGTGCCCTTAGCAGGAACCGAACCTGGGTCTCTCTGGTCTGCAGGCTGATGCTCTAACCTTTGAGCCAAACCAGCCAGGGCTCCAAAGCATTTTAAAACAGACATCCATACTTTGTTAGAGCCTCACAAAGCTCCTAGTGGAGAGAGAATTCTTATCTATCCATTTTTATAAATGAGGGCATCAAGGCAGAGATCATTCATCTTAGAAACATTTATTGAAGATCTGTGTGCCAAGTACCATTCTGGATGCATAGCAGTGACCAGTCACTGGCAACAAAGACTGCCCTCGTGGAGTTCACCTTTTAGTGACCATGTGTCCAAGTCAGTAAATGAAGGGGCTAGGCCTGAAGTTGGGTCTCTTAACTGATCCCAGGGTTCTCCCTGAGATATGCACCAAAGACCCTCCCGTCCTCAGCCCTTCCACTGCCCTTCCTCCAAGCATCGCTTTATGTCCTGGAGCAGCTGCTATTGTGGATACAGAGCAGGTAAGCTCTCCGTGGGCCAGGCAGGTTGAGCGTACCACATGGAATGACAGGTGAGTGCACAGGTAGGGTGGGAAATAGAGCCAAGTGTGGCCACTTAGCAGTCTTGCAGAGTTGAGAGCCCTTAGCTCCAGATCGAAGTGATGGAAGACAGACCTCTGGCTGCCTCTGGCTGCTGGTGGTTTGGGCTCTGTGGCCATCTCTCCCTTTCTTGTTTGGGTTTCCTAAAGATGCCAGAAGCTCTTTCAAATCCACGTCAGAGGGAAAGGCCGGCCACTCAGCTCCAACAGTCTTGTCGTTAGGGCTTTTATGTGAACCTGTGGAACCAAGACTCAGCCGCTTCATTAGCTCAGCCTGAAACCGAATGAAAATGTTACCTTTCTGTGTTTTGATGGAGCCAAGTGAATAAAAAAGCAAAAGACTGTAACTCAATTTGACCAGGAAATAAGCTAATATCTATAATAAAGTTATTAACCTGGAAGAAAACTGTACTATCAGGCAGTCACATCGAACAGAGAATCACCTTGGGTCTGTAGTTATTGTGGAGTCGTGGAGTCCGAACAGAGGGGCACTTCCTTGGTGTCCCCTTGGTGGCAGTGGCTTGTGGCCTCCTGAGGACCCCTCTCGGCTGACCGAGGCAGGTACAGTGAGCAAACAGCAGAGCTAGGGTTGCTGTAGCAACTGGATTCTGCCTTGAGGGTGGAATTTTAAAATATCTCAGCTATATTAGTTATTTTATTGCCCAATCACTCTGTCACTTCCCCAGTGCTGTGTGGTGCTGCGGAGGCTGGGCCATGCTGGGACGCCTGTTTCTCTGTTTTGGGCTCTTGGCAGCTTTTTTAGGGGTTGGAGGTGTGAGGATCGTCTTGGTATAAACTGCTGGGGAGTTGACAGAGCTTCAGCTTTTGCTTCCAGGCTCCTGTAGCACTTGGTTCCAAAAGGCTTATGCCATCTTTTTCTTTTCTGGGAGGCAGAGAAGAGGGTCTAGCTTGAAACCCTCCCTCTCTCCTCCCACTTTGACTTGAGCCTTCTTGCTTACACCCTACCAGAGCAGCCTTAGCATTCCTGGGACCTCTCTTTGGAGAGGGGAGGGGCACATTTTCTTGTTTGCATTTTCTTTGGTCTTCCTAACTTCTGCTTTTGGCTTCATTGATTCACTCTACAAATGACTACTGAACATCTACTAAGCCCCAGGATAAGAAATGAGAAGCTGTCCTTGTCTTGGAGGAGTTTATAATATAGTCTCTTGACCCTGAATTTGGCCCTATCAGATTTCAAACTTTTTTTTTTTATCCTCACCCAAGGGCATTCTTCCATTTTATGTTCAGATAGAGTGGGAGGAAGAGAGAGAAACATTGATGTGAAAGAGACACATCGAGTGGCCGCCACCCACACAACCCAACCAGGGCCGGGACAAACTGCAACTGAGGTACGTGCCCCCTATGGGAACCAAACCCGGGTCTCTCTGGACCACAGGCTGTTACTCTAACCACTGAGCCAAACTGGCCAGGGCCAAACATTTTTTATAAAGTTACAGTAATTTAGTGTTCTATTGGCAGAGGGAGGAACACAAACCCTGGGACAAAACAGCACTCAGAAACAACATATATGAAATATATAAAAATATGAC